GTGCGTGCGTGCGTGCGTGCGTGCGTGCGTGCGTGCGTGCGTGCGTGTGTGTGTGGCGAGTGCGCGCATGTGTGTGCGCAGTGCGTGTCCGTGTGTGTGCGTATGCGCGTGTTTACGCGCGTGCGCATGTGCGTGTATGTGTGCGTTCAGTGGCGAGCCAAACGGTATTAACCCTTTTCTTATGAAATATTCTTCGTTGACCAAAACGTTACACGTGTACTAACTTGGCATAAAGTTGATGCATCTGTTCCTCATGTGTCTTCTTCAGCTCCTCCATCTCGCTCTTCAGATCGTCAATCTTGTGCTTCCAGGCCTCGTCGCATCGCGTTCGTGTTTCTTCAGCTTGCTTTTCCAGTTGAATATTTTTCTAACAACCAACCAAAAACACCGATCAGACTATTCTGTTATCTTGTCACCGTCTATGTAGTCCACTTAATATTATGCCGTAGACAACTTATTTGTTATCATATGGCAAACTTACTATAAAAATCAGCAATAAATTGTTGAATTATGAACATTTTGTATGGAGCAATAAATTTATAAAAGTTCCATTAATGATTATAACAAACTAGTGGAGTAATTTCACAACAAAATCATTATTATTATATACATATATATTAACAAAACGTGTGGGTTTACCTCCGTCAAAACTTTATTCCGCGTTTCAAGTTGAGTTAGCATTACTTCCATTTCAGCACCTAGACATTAAATTTGAATGTAGTATTTATCTATCTAATAAGTATTTATTTACTTAGGACAGCCAACCAGTCATACACTAAAGACATAATTTATAGGAAATGAAACTATTTTTCCGGATTTAATAAATCGCGTATATTTGTTTTTTCAAACAAACCGACGTTTCGGGCCCTTGTTTAAGTTTATTCTAATTTCTATTAATAATTAATAATAAATTGAACTTAATAAAAATTCATTCAATAAATAATTTGTAAAACTTAATGTAGCGTAAATTGGAATGTTTTCTTTGTAAAATTAAAAATAAGGTATTTAATAAATAACTATTGTAACTATAGTGAAAAAATAGGGTGGTTTGCATTAATATTAGACATAACTGGTTGAAGACTGTACCACCTCAGTCAACCGTGACCATGGGACCTGTAAAGGGCTCGAAACGTCGGTTTGTTTGAAAAAACAAATATAACGAGTGGTCCATTTTTCGTTATGACGAGTACGTAGATAATAAAACACAGCTTACATCGGTCTTCAGTCTGCCTAATTCGGGCCTGTGCTTCTTGATAGCGTCGTAGGGTGGCTTGCTCGGTTTCGGCCAGCTCTTTAAGCTCTGCCTCGTATTGCTCTTTGTTTCGCCTGAAATAGGTAACTTTTTGATAATGATAACACACACAGACATGGACGCACATATAGACATCCACAAATTCCACATTTATACGGCGAACGACTATGGAATGTAATTCGCTACCTGCTTTATTCCCTGAATGCTTTAACTTGGGCCTTTTCAATGCGAGAGTGAATACGCATTATTTAGGTGTGTACGCTCCATCGTCGACCTCATCGTCACCTTTCACCAGGTGAGATGGAGGTCAAATGCGCACTTACACATTTTATAAAAAACACACTATCAAAATATGATCCATCTACCACATGATCCATCAAACGCATGATAATTGTGTTTAATTTTGCACTCACCTACAACAGGTACTTCTTTCGGTCTCGAATGAAATACATACATAATTATTTATTTATAATAATACATGAAGTATTATTATTATGACCGTAGAATATTATGCCTAGTAGACTCACTTCAAGGCTTCCTGTAGCTCTTTCCTCCCCGCCTGCGCTTCGGCTTCCATGCTTTCGATGGCCTTCTCGATCTCCTTGTCCCGTTCCAATTTGTGCTGCGTGGTTATCTCCGCCACTTTCTTCTTCATTATCAGCTGCTGCTCCGCTTCGAAGTCTTTCTTGTATTGTTCGAATTTCTGCTCGAGATCTTTTTGTTTTTGTTCCATTAGTTCCTGAAAAATTTATTATACATACACAATACAGGTTGAGTAGCACAAAACATGACTAAACATACTACTTAACATGACTAAACTTACTACTTAAATTACAAGTTTGGCATTTACGAAGTAAAGGATTCAGAGGCGGTTGAAAAGTAATCTCTTTTCACTATTTCCAATTTAAAAGAATACTGGCCACTATCGTGAATTAATCGCTGTTAATTCCTTTTTTTTAAATAGCGACACTCTTTTAAAACGCTTTCGCTTTGCATGAATAACATTAGGAAAAAAAGCAAAAAAAAAATACCTGTGTCCCTTTCTAACAAATATAATAAGTGCATTCCCCTTGCAGGGAGCATATTACACAAAAGTAACCATGGTCGTTTTTATTTCATACTTAGGAAGATTACTTTTCAGCAGCCCCCAACAAGCACTTTGTTTAAACGAAAATACAGTTGCTGAATTTTGGAAAAGTGGCAATACAACATAATTACATTTCTCACAGATGGCGCAATGGCATTAAAAAAATTGTCTCTGCTAGTTTACTTCCTATTGTACATTTTACAAAACTTGAGCACTTACATCAACTTTGCTCTTCTCTTTGGCAAGCTCCTGTTCCATCTCTGCTATTCTTTGTTGTAATATCTTTTCTTGTTCTTCTTTCCAAACATCTGAAAATTTGATATGTTTTATCGATAAATCAAGTTGTAATATATTTATTTACTTAAAAACAATAACTGTTCACAAACTATGTACAACATACGATATTTCAAAATAATTTAACACCAGAATACTCTCTAGCTTGGAACCGATGATATTTGTGCACAGCATTGAAGTAAAATAAATTTTGTTAAATATCCCATTTAAATTAAAATTTGGAAAAATGAAAACTTTGAAAAAGAACCTTACATTAAAAACTTTAAAAAAATAAGTGAATCTTCACCCTAGCTATGACACTTCAGAGACGTTATAAATGCAAAGATAGTAGGAATATACATATCTACCTCAGTGCTAACTTCATTATAGTTCCTGCACATAAAAACATTTTAAGACGTTGTATTGTGTTAATGGCACATAAACAACTTTATAAGTGCGATTTCTTCCAATGATAAAATCGGCTTGATCCACAATCCACTAGCATTCCACACTGAATTAACCAATTTATATACTGGCAAAGCTGAGCAAAGAGCGTCTACTCTACTATTACATTTATTTATTTATTAATTTGCATTGGTAGACACGTTACATTTAAAATGTTACATGCACCCAGTAAGGGTATTGTAACTAATGATAAGTCTTATAAGCTAAAATTAAAATTAATACTACAATTTGAATACAAGAATTAAAATGTTATTAATAATTAAAATTATTAATACAATTTGAATGCAAGTTAATAGTTACATAGGGGAAGCAATATTAGTTTTTGTTTAGTCATCTTCAAAATATTCATTAACTTAGTAATAGCATTTCCGATATATATTAAACATTAATAGACTTAAATGTTAGTAGTTGCAACTCGATTGAGTATAGTGCGCGCGGAACTAGCTGGCCGCGCCTTAGGTAGGGACAGGGGTGAGGGGGCGGGTTGCTTGCTGCTCGCAACGCACATGAGATTAGACAGTGACGACCAATCTCGAGATATCGTGAACAATAATTGTTCAGTTATTGAAAAGAAAAAATTAAAGCCAATTGAACTTTTACAAGTTTATTATTATACCTATCTAATTAATTGCAATGTACAGTCGGCAGCACATCAGGCCGCCACAAACTGTCAGATTTCCTCAATTGATTTTCAACTTAAAGTCCAGGGAATAGAGTATAAAATTGATTGGATAAATTTGACATTTATGTATTGATGGACTTGCTGTTGTCCGTACATTGCAATTAAAAGTAAAATAAACCAAAAACAAATTAAATGAAATTCTTCTGACATATTTGAATCATTTATGAAATTATTATTAATTAATTAGTGTAACTAACACGACTTTGTATTTATAGATATGAAATTACTCTGACATATTATCCTCTGAATCACTTGATTCTGAATTGTCTGAACTTGAGTCAGAATCATCTTGTAAGTTTATAATGAATTCGTCCATCACAGTATCATATCTCATATCATGATTCCAGTATTCTTGTTCGTTTTTTTGTACGTGGTCGTCGCATTTTTGCCATTGTTCGGCAGAAAATTCAGAAAATAGTCTTGTTAGTATTGTAATTTTCTCGTCCAATGTAGCATTAATGTGATCTCTGGCCAGGCAATTTTTTATATTTGCCCACACAAGCTCGATTGGGTTGAGATCTGGATGATATGGAGGTAGTCTTAGAACAGTATGACCTGCACCTTTCAGAAGTTCATCAATCGTGTATATTTTTTCTGATTGGGTCGTATTAATCAAGCCCAAGAGTTCAGCTTTGACCATCGTGGGAGAAAAGGGCACGTTATGATTTTGCAACCAATTCTGCATATTAATTTTCATACAGGACATAGTCGGTTTCTTCTCAACTTGCACACAGTGGTAAGCTGCATTGTCCATAACTATGACTGAGTTAGGTGGAAGTTTAGGTATTAACTTTCGATCAACCCAGTTGTAAAAATTTGTAGAGTTCATGTCTCCATGATAGTCTCCTGTTTTTGAATCTGATTTAAAAATTAGCAGAGCATCGTCAACTAACCCGTTCCGACTACCAGCGTGAACTATTATTAAACGCCTTCCTTTGCCTATATCTGCATAAACACCAGGCTCCGACGAAGATTGCCAACATTTTTGGACATTATGACTTTGGTTAACGTAAGTTTCGTCCAAAAAGAATATATTTCGTTTGTCTTCTCTGAATTTTCTTATGGCCCTCAAATATTTCACTCGCCATTCAACAATGTTTGGTCTCTCTAATAAAAGGGATCTCTTCGATTTACATTTTTTAAATGAATATCCCAGTTTGTGCAAAAGTTCTCTTAAATAAGTTAATCCGCAATCTAAAATATTATCCTCTTTTAACACAGCATTTAGTTTTCGTAGACTTGGATTTGTTTTCTGTACCGTATAAAACTGATTTATTTTTCTTCTTATCACTCCTAAATCAAAATCATCAACTTGTATTTTCTTTTTTATCTCTTTTGGCCTTCGTGGAGAACTAAATTTTGCTTCCCCTGTATTTTGCAAGGATGTTTTACTTTGAGCAATCACTCTCCTTACACTTCGTTCTGATATCCCGGTTGCTTCTGCCACTAATTTATGAATATTCGCATCAGTTTTATATTCTAAACTATTGACATCGGCTTTCCGTTTTTTAAAAAACGTATGCACTTTAAATATTATTTCCTTAGATTGTCTTTTTATCGGCGGACTCATCTTGACATTGCAATCTCTTGTGCGTTTTGTCTAAACTAGCCAGAACTGTCAACGTGTGTTGCCGCCGCGAAGTCCGGCGCCGAACTGAGTATTCTGAGTAATGACATCAAGTGCCCCCGCCTCCCCGTCCCACCGCTCACATACCTAAGGCGCGGCCAGCTAGTTCCGCGCGCACTATAGTAAATAAATGACATTCAACTCTAACTCACCGAACTCTGTTTTCTGTGACCGTTCCCGCTCTACAAGCTCAGCCGCCCGACGGTCGTTCTCCGCTCGCATTTCTGCCACCAGACGAGTGCGTTGCTCTTGATACGTCAGCTCTAGTTCCAAAATTTGCTTTTCTAATCTACAATTAATGTAACACTGCTAGTATTACTTGTATGAAACTTTTGTTTAGTCCCATGTTGGGCGCCAAAAATGCCATACATTCAAAACAAAATTAATTTTAATAAATACATTGACAACTTGCAAGGTTTTATCTCTTTCAATAAAATCGTTTCTCTCGACACATTTTAAGCTGGATATAAACCATGTGTACCTTACATTTTTATTGAATGTTTCACCAGCTTAATATTCAATTATTTTTTGTGAAATTACTCCACCAATTTGTTATTATTATTAATACAAACATCGAACACTTAGAAAAAATTCCTTCGATCTGGCCGCGTTCCAGCCACGCAACGAACCAGCGGACCTCACGAATTGTGCTTGTTGTAGCATCTTTGTATTTAGTTTTCAACTTTTTACCCGTACCGCTATCTTTGAGAAAACCATGAAAGTATTTTGTCATGTATGTGTACACTATACATAAAGTTTGATATCAGACAGTAGTGGTAGGAAATAAAACGGTTTGTAGCTCAGCAAAGGTGATGTGTTTTACAGCGCTGCTAAAATTCTGCTACAACTTTCCGAGTTTTAAAAAAGAACTTATTCGCACATAATTCAGTTCTAAGATTGCTATTAACAACAAATTGGTTCTAAGATTGCTATTAACAACAGATTGCAAACTACCATAATTTTTCTAGCGATACTATTTCACATGAGGCCATTTGCTTGAATTTACTTAAGACAGGAAATGAAACTATTTTTCCCGATTTAAATCGCGTATATTTGTTTTTTCAAACAAACCAACATTTCGGATGACTGTACCACCTCAGGCAACCGTCACCATGGGACCTGTAAAGAGCCCGAAACATTGGTTTGTTTGAAAAAACAAATATACGCGATTTAATTCCGGAAAAATAGTTTCATTTCCCATGTGTAAAATCTAAGAACTCGATATTTACTTAAGATTTTTAAGATTGTATAAAACCGTTACCTGGAGCTAGCAACCTGTCTCTCTTTAGCAAGAGCACTCTCCTTCTCCTCCTCGAGAGTCCGTCTCAGCTCTTCCATTTCCGCCATATGTCTGGCTTGCAGTTTCCCTATGTACTCCGCGTGGTACATTTTCAAATCGGAAATTTCTTTATGCTGTCGCTCAGCCATTTCGCGGAGTTCACCTTCTAATCCCTTTACAGTCAACTCCTGAAATCAAACCATCTTATTAATAGTACGTCGTGTATTAAGGCCGATAAATAAGAAATGACTCGAGAGCCTGTCAGAAGCCCGAAGCCGAAGACTGAGGGCTTTAATAACTCGAGTTTTGTATTTTTTTACCGTCAATACGTACAATGTTTTTCATCACGTTTGCGAGGAAATAAATACAATGTTTATTTCTTGTAAGACTAAATATGGTTCACAACACAACAATTATGGATTTTGCAAATGGCGGGCTTTTTGTTTTTTTTTTATCAACAGATGGCCAGCTACCTATTCTTCCATAGATAATACAACTCGAACTAAAATGTTGTAAAAAGCAAAGACGCATACAGCCATGATGGATCGTAAAAAAATGCTAAATTTTTATACAGAAAATATTTAATATCAATCATAAGAAATTCTAAATAATTCAGTGTTTAAGTGGTATGTGGCTGAATGAAGTGGCAGAAGTGGGATCGGTGAACATTCACCACGACGTCGCCCGGCCGCCCTAGCTTGCGCCAGGGCTCCCGCGCCAACAGAAGGGCGGGTCGGTTGTCCTCCGACCCGCCCCCCAGACGAGTGAGTACGTGCAATGCAGGCTCAAGAGTCCCTGTCTAGAGCCCGCTGGCTTTTCTAGGGGATCAGGCGACCAGCGAACTGCCTCCGCCTTCTTCCCGTACGTCTGCGCCGAAACGGGTGCGCGTCCGCCGTACAAATTAAAAAATCCTTACCGACCATGGCTGTAATGGGAAGCAAAAAGGCCTTTATTTGGAGCATTATAGTCAAGTTACCCACCATGCAATAGTACTATTTACGAGCAAGTATGATGAAAAACAGTGTAACTTTAAAATATTTGATATTTTTTACCACAGGCTAATAAATACGTAAGGCTTTGATGGTGACAGTTGTAGAGCTTGGCATCAGCGTTCGTACGGTAAATAAATTGGTAGAAATAAGCAGTTCCCTAAAAGAGGACCTCTGTGACCGCTCTGCTACTGGGCTTAACATAACATTGGCCTGGGTATTCTGGGTAGTAGCTCAGAGTGAATTCCGTTGCTGCATTACTCTAAGAGAACAGACAATTGGTGTGGTTGTTTGGTACTATCATTTAACTGCCTCCATGGCCGAAAGGTTACCATGCTGGTTTCCCACGCAGAGATCCCGGGTTCGATTTCCGGGAGAAATATTTGTATGGCCTACGATTATTTATCTCGTGAGTTTGGGTGTAATTTGTGGTGTTCTATGTATGTGTCCATAGTACCCGCGACAAAGGGTTTCCTAGTGCGACTATGAATGAGTACGTTATTTATTAATTTATTCCAAAATGACAAAAGTCAGAACCAAAATTGTTTAATTGGTTACACTAACTAATACACAGTACCTTTATTTTCTCAGCTTTTTGTCGCACCCAACGTTGTCTAGCAACCTATAATAAAATGATTTATTACAGTACGTTCACTCAACATAAGTAATTATAATAACTTGGTGTTCAATGTTTTAACCAATTACTCTTATTAAGCCACTATCGATCACCTGTTGTGCGGCGGCCATCTTGTCGTGCTGGTTGCGTAACTCGAGTTTGTATCGCTCCTCGAGCGCCTGTGCAGATCGCTTCCATCTCTCCTCTAGCGTACGACGCTCGTCCACTAGCTGCTCTATTCGATGGTTTAACGTTTTCTTGTCGTTTATTAGCTAAAATCAATAACAAGGTTTATTCACGGTAAGGTGTCCCGTTAAGTGGTCGATAAATCGTAAGCAATAGTTACGTAATCTGATACGCGTTAGGTGACTATTTAGTGTTACCTGGTCAATGAAATTTTGGTGTCGTTTTATTGTTTCTTCGCACTCGAGTTTAATCTTGTTAATATTGCGTTGCGACTGCTTCTCTAGATTGCTCACTTTGTTTATCATCTGAAATTTTTTTTATTAGTCAAATTGAAAAACGAATCAAACGAAGAAACCGGTTTTTCATGGAAACCAGCCAATCTCAATTCATTTTTATTTCCTAATGTCTATTTCAAAAAAAGGAACGGGGCAGAGCAATATTCAAATTGCAAGATAACAGATTTTTAAAAATTTCACAGGCACACATTATTTGATATTTTTTCCTAACAGATATTGTACTCCCTCGCGACGACTAAAGTGAACCACATTTTCATAGCACAAACTCAAGGCACATTTTAGTTTGCTTCAATGCGCTGAAAGATTCGCGCACGAGTGTCCGTTTCACTTTACTTTAGAATTACAAAATATGAGAAAGTGACTTCGGTAATAATAAGTGTAGTTACAGAAGTAGTAGAGAAGTATTTAAAAAAAGTTAAGACTTTTTTTGTTATATTTCGGATCTCGACTTAGCTTGGACTACCGAAGCGAAAACACGGACAATTTTTTTTCTGACTAGCTTAATGCGATTGTATGTAGATTTGTGGAAACAATATACGTACTTACTCGTAAATTAGTAAATATTTAGAAACAAGTATGGTAACTTACTTTCGATTTTGTACATAGATACGTCGATAATGATACAAACCAAAAAAATTCCACCAATACATTAGGAGTGATTTTTTATGCACATACACATTATCCTTATTTTGATATAGTATAGAGTAGATTAACATTATTTCAGCAGGATCATGGTGAAAATTTTTCCTATTGATCATGAATCATCCCCTAATCTTTACTTTTCGGGGTCGGCCTGTATACTTTTGAACTAGTGCATTTACAACCTGTCACTTGACATTTATTGGACGACATTGCATTTATTTTGTATTTTACAACCGAAAACTGATTTAAAAAAAATCATAACTTTCAATACTACAGCCTGTGATGGGATCACAAATTTCTGTATTTGTGCCAAATTTCTATACCAAATAGTTTCAGAGAATATCAACTACGACAGACACTGAGCTCATTATAAATGTTCTATTTTATAAATTTTTGTAAGTTACAAAAATAATAAGATAGGAGTTACTTGTTCTTTATGATTAGCAAGGCTCTCTTGCAATAAGGCAATGCAGCAAGATCGCTCTTCCAGTTGTAGTGACGCTGTGACCAACCGCTGGGCCAGCTCTGTCTGTGGCAGCTTTAGCAGTTGCTCCAATCTATACAAACGTTTTATGATGAAATTGATTTCTGTACACAACTCTGCATCCATCACTAGAATTTGGTCTAAAACGGTACTACACAAATCGTACATTTTCTATTTATTCTCATTCAAGAGAGATTCTTGCAAAATAAACTTACTTGGGTACAGTTTGGGGGATGTTCGTCGTAACAACCGATAAAGCATCATTCGCGCTCTGCTCAACTTTCTCCAAAAAGTCAAATATCTCCCTGCAACACATGTCATTTAATAACGAGAATAATCTAATAAAAACGATAAATTTTATCATCACAACTAAAATAGTGTTGAAGTCACATACATGAAATGATCTTTAGGAGAGTTGGTTTCTTTTTCTTTCTTCGTTTCAGGTGACTCTGGCATAATTAAATTAGTTACCGAAGTCACAGGGTTTTCACCAAAACTCTCTATTTCCTTCAACATAGAATAAATATCAAGAACAGTGGAGTTCGGGTCTAGTTCTTTGGGTTTTGAGTCATTTTCATTTGCCGTGCTTGCGGAGTAGGGTGATAACGTCTTCGACAGACCAGACTTTTCGTTGTGTAGTTCTTCGGGCCCTTTTCTAGTGCTTGGTGTTTCGACTTTAACTAATGCAGTTTCGAGTTTTGCAAGTTCGGATTTTGCAGGTTCGGTTTTTTCAAATTCCATATGATCATTATCGTCTAATTCAAGAATTCTTGGCGACGGAGCAGAAAGTGACATCCAAGAATCGACATCTCTGTCACCTTGTACAACATTTTCATGCCGAGCACTTACTGGAGTTCGCATAGTAAACAAATTCTTTTGTGTTTGATTCCGAATATTTACATGTTTCGGAGCTGGAATATTCGATTTAAAATTCTTATTATTCCAATCTTGTTTACAAGAATCAACCTTACCATTAACACTACTCACTGCCTTGTCAAACTTTTTGACACTCCTTGGTATAAAATCTTTGGAAAAATCTCCTTCTTTTACCTTCAAATAGTTTTGTATAAGTTCTTTAGTTGACACTTTGGAGATATCCCTATCAGGGGTTAAAGTGTTTTTGTTTTTATCAGATTTACTTTTTACTGAACTAGCCTGTGAATCACTGGAATCTCTTTTGTCTTCAAAAGTTCCAGAATGATCATCAAACATTTTATCAATATTGTATGGAGTTGGAGATATAGTGTCAGTTCTAATATCTTTAAGGGTAAGTTCATGTAAATTGTTTATTGCTTCTAGTTCTTTTTTGTAGTCTTCAATTACTTTACAAGTGTAAGCTTTCGTAGTGCTGTTCAGCAAATATGATGGATAATCAACATTATCATTTACTTCTTCAGTTTTTGTCTCAGCATTAACTTCGTTCGGAATATTTTGAAGATTTACTGCAGAATTGCGCGGCGGTAAAGCAATGTGACCTTCTTTTTGTAAAAAGAAATCTTTGTATAGTAATCGACTGTGGTTAAGAGGTTCGACCCATTGGCTTTTTCTGTCTCCAGGAAAGGTTTTGTGATAATCTTGGTTGCTACTTATGTTCGAAGTATTGTCCAAGCTTTTTGGTTGAGCTTCAATTTTAGGATGCGATTTAGATTTTTTCGACATAGTGTTTGGTAAAGAGAAATTATGTGTATAAGCTTTATCATCATTAGCTCCACTATCAGGGTAACCAGAGTCTTTAGAAGAAGTATCAGTGTGTATTGCTGTACTAGACAACTTTCTTGTGCGATTATTACCGGAAGTTGCACAGAAATCATCATAGAAACTAGTATATGTTCGTGATTCATTCACAAAATTCTGTGTATTAGAATCATCTTTTCTATCAACAATGTAAGTGTTTCTGCCTGTTAAATCTCCATCATTATTATCATCTTTTTTCAGACCTTCTAGAGAAATCTCTGGAGATAAACTAGACATATGCTGTGAAGTTGCATCAACATCTTGAGTGGATTCTTCTTCTACTAAAGACAATTGTTGTTTGGTTGATGTTAAACGCCGGGAATAAGTATCAATGGCTTGTTCTACTTCAGCCTGTATGCTGGATGAACCAAATGACACACGACCAGCGAGTGCTCCTTCATCTATTATTTTCTTTTCAGTATCAAGTGGAAGGAAATAAGATTCATAAGCTTTTTTAAATGATGGCGATAGACATCTTGCACTTAGTATATTTCTTGTTGGAGACACGCTTTGTGGTCGTTCAGTAATTTTTATTTCCATTTCATATTCATTATTTTTCTCTTCACCTGGATCATCCATAGATCGTTTGCCTTTCTTAGCTATATTCCTGTATTTTAACGCGTTTTTGTTTTGCCTTTGTGGCTTTGCTCTGAATCCAGCTCCTAATTGGGCCCTGGCCTTTATTTTAGTACCTAGACTGATAAAAGTATCTTCAGAGCCATAGTCAGAAGCATTACTACAAACTTCCTTATCCTTTTTCACAGAGGCATTGTCAGATTTAGTGTTGCCTAACAGTTCAGCTGTGGGTGCCACTACTTTTATTGTAGTAATAGGGTAACCTGGAATCACATAAGTAAATTAATGATAGTGACCTGTAGATGTTGTACATTTACTACAAACATTTGAATTAGTATAGTTGCAGACGAAAAAGAAATCAACGGACATGGGAATCAAACAATTCAAATCATGACAGAAACCATAGGAAAACTAAATCAAAACTGCCAAAAACTATTTCACTTACATGGTATGCTATATAGCGATATGTGTATTTATTTGACCTATTTGTTTTGACTTATAGTATCAAGTATTTGTACTTACTATACTGATTTATTAATTCAGCACTGTATGCTTTGAAAAACGGGCGAGGTGCAGACCCTCGTTCTTTCGTGTCGGCGGAGAATGGCCTTCGGAATCTCTCTTGATAATCCTACAATCAAATGTATAGAACAATACACTAACTTAATTTAATAATAATAGGTTTTGTGCCTTTGAATAAGTTTTGTTAGATTACTAAATCATGTACAAATCTCATTTATGCTTTTAACGTTCCACTTTTTAAATAGCTCAAATTTGTTTAAAACGTCAATGCGTAAAAAGTTTACACGTTAAAACCTTTTCCTTTTTTTTTTTGAAAAATGAAATAGCGTGTCTTTTGTGGACTGAAAGGTTTTATAGCCCTTGGAAACGCAAACAGAATAAATTACCGGCGTAAAATATGAATTTTGCAATGCCGACCGGGGCCTGTTGCGAATATTCTTCTTTTCCTCTTTTTTCTTACTTCTGTACGATAGATTTACGGGCGAGCCTAGTAGTCGCAAATTAGTATTATCTTTCGACATTTCACACTCATACCAGCACACTTTTTGGAAAAACAGCTGCAAAAATGACTAACATTATCACGCTTACAATTCAACTGTTTCTTTCTGCACTTTTCTGTTTGTTGTCATAAATACGTTGCCAGGCAACGAGATATATAACAAATCAGAACTAATTAGAATAATGATATGAATCGAAGAGCAATACTTTTCAGTTTTTAATAAACAAAATAAATAATTATATTTAATTAATTAAACTTAAATAAAAAAACAAAACTGTTGTTTTATGAATTTAATAAGTAATAATTTGAATCAACCGGAAGTAAGATATCCAACCTTATCTTGACTTCTTTGGGTTACCAGTAATTAAATTTACTATCATGTAGTAGAAAAAAGTTTAGGTTCTCATACTGAATTTAAAAAAATATTTTTATTTGTTTTATAAAACCTTTCAAAATTAAAAGGTAAATAGAAGTTTAAATGCTCACATGTATTCTAAATGTATACAAAATATTTGAAACATTTGATTGTGACATTCAAATGTTTCAAAAGTAAATAAAATATATCAAGGATAGCAATAACATAACGCAATTACATATTGACGTCATCGATAAAAATATAGCCGGTTCGTGTGTCGGAACGGGCACATGAAGTGTTCTTAGCACTTTGTGTGGTGACGGTCGATCTCTAGCGAAACCTTGAAGATATTTTGGATCACATTTCGCCTGAAAGGGGCGCCACCACGAGTTCTAAAAATTCGTGTATGTACGTGCAAGTTGTGAATTATTACGAGTTGTGATTTGTGCGAATTTCAATTTTAAATCATCAAAATGTTCAGTGGAATCGCAGGTGAGCTTAATTAATTATGTATTATTATTATTCTAAAATGCTAACTATTGTTATAAAAAATAACTAAAGAAAGTTCGTTTTTGTTTACGTACTTAATATTTTAGTATAACTTTTTGACCTATGAATTAAATTTCAAACTCCTTACAACAAAATTAAAAATTCCCATAAAATAAATGCCTAAACTAAAAAATAATATAAAATAATATAATAAATTATATTTTCCATTTACCACCGGGAAGATAAACGAAGTATAATCCTATTATGCACGTTTTTAGTGCACGATAGCGTCCCAGTCAAGTCCATGACCGCCCGAATACTGTCGTGCTTTGTATCTTACAAAATATTTGTGTATCATACGTCTAAAACGTATATAACCCATAAGCGACCAGAAAATATTTTCTCCGCGGGTTTTCTCATAATTACAACAAAATAAAGTGAGAAATGATAATTATAACTAATGTAAACCTTTTTCTAATTATTTAAGTTTTGTCAAGTAGAGTACACTCACAATGTAGAGTAGTTGTGAAACACATAAAAATAAACAAAGAGCGGTGGTAACCCAGGTGGAAGAACGGTATAATAACTTCGAATCCTTTTGTGCGCGGCACGTACCTATAACTTATTACTTATGTGAGATGAAGGAAAATATCGCGATTAAGCCTGCAAGTCGAAGAAGGTTCACAACCATTGGTAAGCGTGTTAAGTACCATGGAAGCACCCAAACTTTCTCCTAAAAGGAAACCCGCGCCGAGCAGACCCATACAAAGGATTGATGATTATATGAAATACAATTTTTTATGATACCAAGTGTTTGACGAAAAATTGTAGTTAGTAAATATTTTAACACTGCTGATTTAATGTAGTTTATCAAAATCACGTTGGCAGGTTAGTTTTCGTAGTTAGTCCAAAAATAGAGCAATGGCATCTAATTATGATTATCACGTAATTCATTAGCGTCATTTTTCGCAAATATCACCTTCTGTTTAAATTAGTTCAATACATCATTCGTAGCGTTGTGTTAACATATTATTTCTGCAGTCCTACATTAATTTCTAATAGTATCATCACTAGTTTATCATTTTGTGTTATTAAGGTTAACTAGATGATAACTATTAATGTTATTCCAATAACTCGGAATAAGAAAAATAATATGACATAATATTGGTAGGTATTTGAATTAGGAATTTGAAACGTGTTTTAATTTAATTTTGGAATGTAATTATTTATGTGAACATTAGATAGCGTATACCTAAAGTTTGTTTCAATTAGTTTCGCATAAAAGTCTATATTATAATATGTAAGTTAAGTTTATTGAATATCACGATATTTTACTACCATGATATTAAATTATTTTTTGTGCAGTTACTCCACTAGACGTTATAATTATTAATACAAAGATCGAAAACAAAAAAAACCTTCAATTCGATTCGAAATGTCGTTAAAAACTAAAAAAAAATATCTGCAACAAACACATAAATTCTGGTGCTGGTTTGTTCCGTAGCTCAGTTGGGAGAACATCCGAAAGCGCTGGTTCGAATCCTACCGGATTGAAGGAATTTTTCATAGTGTTCGATCTTTGTATTATTACTTATAATTATTTACCTTGTTTCAAATACGATTGTAAGATATTATTCAAATGAATATAATTGGAAAAAGAGGTGAGATATCTCTCCTAAGTTGAAATGAATGATCGTTTGAGAATTAAGAAAGAACTTTAAAACCGCTTTAGAACCGCTACAAAAATGGATTGACACAGATTGAAATGGAATAACTTCGTGGAACGAAACTTATTATAGTTAATAAAAGGGAAATTTGAAATTATTGCTCACGAACACGTAAAACATGTTACCAATGCCATGGGAAATTACCTAAAACAAAGGCTAAGTCAACAGTACGTAAATACCTGTTATATTAATAAACGCTTATCTTTGAACTGCCAAACAAAACAAATCAATTACAAAGTCGAGGCTAAAATTGTTAACCACGTAAGTTTACAACATGATAACATTACAGCGGTTCTAAATCCACGTAAATAAGAATCTTAACTACGCAGCATCCAAAATTCTACTGCTGCGTCAGCAGTGTTCGATCGATGCGGAAGAACAAAATCGAGATACATATGTATTATGTATACAAAGTTTTTTATATAATAACAATGCGTATCGATCGTAGTTTTACCGATAACATAGTAATACCAACTTTTATCCTGTCCCAAAGCTTTTATTTATTGTGTACGTATTTACGTACAGGAATATTGATATAATAAGTATTTTAAACATTTGATACTATTAATTCTGTGCGTGTTTAGATGTTATTCGCAACATGTGGTGTCATGAAATCTAAAGGGCAAGCGGTGGCCAACATTTGAACTCCATCAATATAACAACGTAGGCGTCACACGCCGAGTGCACGTGAACTGAAAGTGGAGGTCGAGGCCGATGGATTCGTTATTATGGAATTTATGATTCACTCTTACTATGCTATACAGCTAATCTACAAATATAAACCAGGTACAAAGGGTGTACTGTTACATCCGAGTGGTTATAACCACTTAAATTATTATAATTAATACAAAGGCCGAACATAAAGAAAACTTCGTTCGCCCTGTCAGGACTCGAACCTGCAACCACGAAGTACCGTAGCGTCGAACTATCAACTGAGATACGAATCGAGTCAGCAGTAGGGCTAGCACGTTAAGGCGCTACTTGAGCGAGAGCGACATAAAGCGCGAGATATGCCAGAATAGCAGTATCTCGGGCTTTGAGGGTCGTATTCCAGAACTCTACTCAATGCTCAAGCCAGGATTTGAGCAGACTTGAGTATGATTTGAAGCACTGGAAATACGACCCTAATGGCAAGGATTTGAGTATGATTTTCAGTGCTCACTGCAATACTCAAGTCCTGACTTGAGTATTGAGTAGAGTTCTGGAATACGACCCTAAGTCGTTCTCGCACTAGTCGCGCCCTATCGTGCTAACCTTACTGGTCGACAAAATTCTTTTGTGTGTCTGTTGTAGACTTTGATGTAGACCTATCTTTTGTATAGAATTTTTTGATCTGTCAACGCCAGCGACACCTCGTGAGAGATTTATGAACCTTCTCACTCAGCCACAAACTAGTTGAGTTATTTCACAAAAAATATATGAATATCACTGCGTTAAAATATCGTGATAATAAAATAAATCAATAATACATTTAAATTATTACTTACTAAATAAAAATACTATTGACTAATCAGTAGCAGCATTTGTAAGAGTATAATGTTGACGCATCGATAAGACAGTACAATGGATTAAAAAAATATTACTAAGAATAGGATATAGAGAGGATAATAGGAGAGAGAGATAGAGAGAGAAAGGACAACAAATTATGTAGTAATTGAGGCACGTGAACTAAACAAATAGTTCAAGAGAATTCACATTACACGTGTACTGTTGGGTAATTTTCCGAAAAATTTCAAATAGCAGAAACTTTTCCGGAAAAATGTCTGCAACAAGTATAATTCGAAGATACATATTATATTCTACGTGTAGATATATCTGTTGAAGTTTTATTTAGCGTGAATTAATTAAATTGTATAGCTAAAACCAAGTTAAGAGTAATACAAGATTTGAAATGATTGAACAACAGCGAAAGAAAAAAATCATAGGTAAAAAAATCTTTAAATTGTCAAATATGGAAAATATAGGAAAAATATTAATTTTTCAAAATGGAAGCATTTCCATAGCCCAACACTAGTTATATGTAAAAGGAAACTGTATAATAGATGTAATGCTGTAAAATTGTTACGCCACGATACTTATGCCTTATACTACCTAATTCGTAGTGCCATAAATTTGCAACAAAACAAGTCACTTAGCAGTGCCATGTTTATTGATCGTGGACGAATAAAGTGCTCGCTGTCCTCATTTAGGAAGTCATACAACAGCTGAAACTATATATACGGATGTCAAATATAAAGGATAGGCAAAGTAAATCAAGCATCATATCGGTGAAGTGCTGTAACTGTTGTTTTGTAAAATTGATATTATTTAATAATTCTGTTTAGCTTTAAAATACACTAAGCATTAGAGCACTTTCAAAGAATGGAAGGTAAATATAAAACTATATACGATTGGCCTTATCAAAGTTATCCTACCAATATTTTAAAATGAAGGTAAATATTGAGTTGTGGTATCACAATCTCAGGAATTACTATTTATCGAGTTCTTAGGTTTTTGCGATTGTTACACATAGAAAATGAAACTATTTTTCCGGATTTAAATCGCGTATATTTGTTTTTTCAAACAAACCGACGTTTCGGGCCCTTTGCAGGTCCCATGAACACGGTTTATTAATTTAATATAAAAATTTAAAGGATAATTAATTACACTTAATATCGGTGGCAATTTTTTAAAATTTAAAATTTGAGTAGGTCCTGCAATATTAAATAATATTTCAACACCATACTCGAACATTAAGCAATACTTCGTGATAATATTCTAGAATATTTAAATTACAAAAAAATTCCACCGAAATTAGGTAGAGAAAATTAACCTGAAAATCACTCTAATAGTCATGATCTTTTTACAATAAACTGACGGATAATTCATTAACGTTTCAAGGTCGCTTGCCAGTATTATCAAAGATATCATCGTTGAATGTATGCATACCTTTGTTTATGGCACTAATACAGCAACAAACAATAAAAACCACGGTATCAGCCGTACGAAAACAAATCTGTCCGTTCTCGCGATGACATCACCAAGGTCGACTGGTGTCGAGGCCTGACATCGTGCACCAGTGTAGCGACGACGCTCGCCTCTTTCAACTCCATTGCACTATCAAAGCTCGAAAAGGACGAGCATTATTATAACATGTAAATGATATAATCAGTGTGTACGGCTGACTATATCATGTATACAACACAAATTCTTGAGGAGTATTCTGGCTAATCGACACTCGGTTGGAATTTTAGAACAAGGAATGTCTGCTATTTTTAGAACACGAAGAGTAAGGCAATGTTTGGAAACTATCTTTCGGTTGTTCGTTTATTCTTTGTTATAACTCATTTAGATATTGGGTGGTAGGAAAACTTTGATTGTTAAAATTGTTTAACATTTTCCCATGGACATCCATGGGAAAATGTTACATTGCGAGAAGAATGTATGCAAAGCACAATAATATTATACAAGAATGATAATAAGGTACGCGCTGCATTGTATGAATTCTCACTTTTTTTTTCACTCACAATTTTAAATAGTTGTTAAGCAGTGAGTTGTCCGTAATGGCATTCAGCTCATGACATCACAGGTGGTGCGCAGGGTGGTGATGTCATCATAATCACACTGCGGGACCGGATCTTTTCTCAATTGGCTACAAAGTAGTCTGCAAAGAATCTGCAATTTATGACACCCACACAAACACAACCACGCCACGATGGGCCCTTAAGTCGAACCAAAAGATAATAATTATCATTCTTACATAATAACTATTATAGTCCTTATAACCACTGAGTAGATACTTATAACAATTCGGTGGGTTAGTTGGAACTTATGGAAGTTTCGAGGCTTCCGCAACACAAGCATAAATTTCATTAATAGGAGAATATCATCTAATATTGTTTTAAAAAATAGTATTTGTTCTATTTGAGAAATAAATACATACATTTTTATTATTTTATATTTGTTCATAATTTAGTTATCTTTGATCGACGAACGTTGCAATTTACGCATGTACAAAATGTAATGCAATTTTTGAAACGAATTATTGTTGAGCTAAGTACATTGTCCTCATCTAACCTGGTTCATCGCAGACGCCAACGGCTCTGCAGAGTCATAAAGACGTCTGGCGTACCCAAATCAATACCTGGACGCTCGGGGCCAAGACCTAGACTAGTCATCGGCTAATATACTCGAATACGCGTGCGGAATTTTATTAGCTTTGCGATATGAATGAGAATACAAGTACGAATGTTAAATATCTGGCGTGACACGATCTTAGACTTTATTGTATGAGATCAGAATGTTTGACCTAAATGCAGCAAGTTATTTAATTTATTACTTACGACATTTACAAGTTATTGCTCGTGAAATGTAACTATGTGGAAGTTTACTTTATGTTGACGAGCTTTGTTTATTTAGAGTGCTAACTTATATCAACTGTGTTATTGTATAATTGAGAAAAATAATTCAGCTATATAACACTAAGGATAACGTGTGAAGTCCTCAACCCGCGTCGGGCCAGTATGGCAGACTATGGCCTAAACCCACACCTGAGATGAGACCCGTACGCAGCAATGGGACGTATTAATGGTTTGATGATGATGGTGATATAACACTATGGCTGAGACTTATAAAACGTCCTTGACTAAGCGAAAAACGGAGAGCTAAACAAGTTTTTCGTATTTACAAAACGAACTTTGCCTAAGTTTCAGCCAGAAAGTAAATTTAAATTCGTTTTGTAAATACAAAAAACTTGCTTAATTCGTCATTTTGGCTTGTCGAAGTCTAAGTTCGTTTTATAAGTGGGTAATTTTTAGGTTAATATTTTCTACCTAATTTTGGTGGTAGTTTTTATTATTTAAGTATCCGAATATCTCGATATATATTAAATAATATTTCATGACGATATCCTAGAATATTTGAATAACAATAATTCTAACTTTTTTATTAAAAGAACCGACCTGAAAAAATTGCTTATCGACTTTTTTTTAAATTGCACCTATTTGCCAAGATTTATTGAAATCTATTAAAGCCAAGTGCGCGATATTTTATTTATTCACGATATATAGATATTTTATTGACGTTTAAATGGGACCATTACCGAGGTATTACCTCTTTCCAACAAAAAAAGAAGCATCTAAATCGGTTCACAAATCGTGTAACATACACAAAAGAATACAGTCGAATTGCGAACCTCCTTCTTTTTTGAAGTCGTTTGAAAATTGCTACCGAAATTAAGCAGAGAAAACTAACCTAAAAACTACCCCCTTAGCCTAAGTCATGCCTTTAACTACAAATTTTGAACAAAGACTTTGGAGGTGGAGTGTCTGTTTCGAGTATATTTTCAAGTGCCCCAGGCTGGAGAGCTATTTAGGGCATCAATCAGCGTTGGTTGCGAAACGGGCGAACAACACTCGTGCAATGATCCCGGATCATTTGACCGACTGCCGCGCCACGCTATTCTCGGCCCCAAATTATCGCGACCAATGCACGAGCGACACAATTCATTTGTTCGATTGACCTATCGAACACTGAATCTACACTTCACTTGCACCGGCAACGATACTAAATGCAACTTCGATTGTATTATTGCAAATGCATGTGCAGGTATTATAATTAATGTTGCTTATATT